AAGCGGCATACCGCATAAACGTACCGTGCTACAGTTTACATTCAACTGACTGTGTCGTCACCAAGATTCCCGCATCCCGCACATTGCGGCAGCATGTCGCCGCACATCCCGCAAAAACGGGTGGTGTTACATCTGCCATACCATCTCATGCGATATTGCCATACCGCAAAACGGGCCGTGTAACGCCGCACTTAGGCAGATTTCTGAAATATAATATATATTTCCTTCGGTTACACACCCGTTTCACCAGACCCCTGAGAGCGACCCGAACAGTCCAGCGTAATAGACTCTGAATAAGTTCTTTCTAAATCCTTTTTCTCTCTTTTTTCAAACGGAGAGAAATCAAACATTATCTGTACACTTCCTTTCTAACTTCTCGGAACCATCTTAGTTGTCCAAACTGCACCTTTGGACTTCTTATCGGGCAACAGGATCGCCGATGAGGTAGTACCGCGGCAGTACTCTATCTGAGATAATCCTGCGGGTGATCTAGGAAATGGCCGGCGTCGCTCGTAAATCCGACTCTTGTCGGTAGCTACGTCCGCTTGAATCTCAGATAAGCATCTCCGCATAACACAGTTGTAATATTTACGTCGGCATACGGCACGCAGCTCATATTTTTGCAGAGGCCTCTCGGTTGACGGTTCACTCGACTGCCGCGCCGCCCGCTGATCTCGCCAGAAGAAATCTACCGGTACTGGTACTACCTGTATACATACGGGGAAAGATTGTGTGGGTACTTTCTAAGTTGAAGGAAAATCGAAGATTTTCTTTCATTTAAGTAAGAACAATCTTGTTGTCCTGCGGTAAAAATGTGAAGTTTTCAATAGATTTTTTTTCTTAAAAATAATGTCTAAAGTTTGAAATATACAGGGTGGTCCGAACTGTATTTCGGAAACTTTGACAGCATATTCTGCAGATGAAAATAGGTAAAATGTTCGTATAAATGTATGTCCTAAAATGCTTAGTTTCGGAGATACAGGGTGTAGAAATTTCATTTTTATTTCGATTTTTTCCACATAATTTCTGAAGGAACGTCAATATTTGGATGAAAATTGGTGTCTGGGAGTTTTTTGACATGAGAAATTTGATTTTGATGTCAATATGACTCCTACTTGTAGAGGACACCACCTACATAGTAAGAGTAATAACTTTTCGTCCGTACCTGTATAAAACTACTGTAAACTACTGTTTTTTACGTAAAAATTCACAGATTTTGCAACATGCGCAACCATCATAGGCGTATTGAAAATACCAGACACAAGTTGGCGGTTGTCGAAGAAAAAACCTTTTTTTTTACACACCCCTTAATTTTAAATGAACTTATTCGATACTTTACGGTCACCCTTATAATGTTTACTACTGAATTGTGATATTTATTTCTTGGTTACAGAAACCATGCAATGTAAGGTCGTGGCGGTAAGCAGCAAAAATAAATTACATTAATAAAAATTAATGTAAAAAATAAAATTTGGTCACAAAAAGTTTTTATTGTTTTTCTAAAGTAATAACCATAAATATAAAATCTTGACACTTAGTAATGGTGGTTTCATTATGTTGTTTCTTGTATTGGACTTTATTAATTAAATATAAATCTGAAACAAGATTTCTGATTTTAACGGTAGGTACCTATATATAATTTTTTAATATTAATTCTGAAAAATAAGAAAGTAAACGTAATAATAATTAATATCGGTAACTACCAGTTTGATTAGATTATCGATGTATACATGTATACTCTTTTTTTTTCTCAGGTAAGACAGACGATGACAAGAAGAGCAGATGACATCCCATACCAATCTATTTATTTTACTAAAAAAAGTTTCCAATATTTTTTAAGTTAGCTATGGATGGGTTTAAATATAAATCCGTCATGCGTAGTCTCTTGTTGTTTTTAACCAGTTTTATTGGTTTATTTCAAAAATGACAGATAATATTTCAATTTTACTGGTTTGACGGAACGATGAACGACAAACGGACGCCGGATTAAGATTCTAAGCCCCTCAATTTTAATATCTTTGACATGTGTGCCTGTCCAGAGGCTTGTCATAAAATATTTTTGAAATGCTGCGAATAAGAAACTTCTTATTTCTTATGAAAATCATTTTTATTATCTTGGCTCTCCGAGACGTTTTCCATATCCGTATATACACCAGTGGTAAGTCACGGTAATATTTATTAACCATATTCAAATTAGGTATTATTACTTACCTTCCTGATTTATATTTCCTGTTGTCTCTTATGGTCCTTCAAAATCTTCCAAGGTCGAAAAAGAAGTACCGATTGTATTACTGATAAAACTTTAGCAATTTTCTTGCGATTTCTATAGGCTCGACAACGTTCGACGTTTAATTTAAGTTTTCTAGCTTTTTTTTTCATCTTCTGGTAGTATTTAAGATTTTTTTTAACGAAGATTCAGTTTATGAACGATGAACCGTTTCGCTTATCCGCCATTTTTTAAAAGGTACCACAGACCACTTGATTCGAGTCATCACGTGAACTATTGGATTTTATATTTATATATTATATTTGCATTTTATATCCGATTCAAATTATGACTTCCGATCTGATTACTCCTACACTGATATAATCTGTATTACGACTTATGCTAGGTTAATTAAGGAAATTTGCGACCAATTTTGAATTAAGTTATACTGCAAAGACTCGCATAGCCTATGATTTGTCGTTGTCAATTATAATTTAAAAGTAAATATACGTAAAAATATTATTTTTATAAAGCTACAAAGGAGAACAAGAAATTGATGATTAAATAGACCATCCAAGAGATAATGAAATTAAAAAATTAAGTTTTAACTGTCATAATTTACTAGGAAAAAGCAGTTCTAGCATAATTCAGTAAGTTCAAAATTTACACGACCATTAGTTTTTACCTTTTCGATAAGTTATGAGATCGTTGGGATACGAGAGGTGCTTAGACATTTTCATTTTCAAAACGTCTTGTATTTCCGAAAATTACTTTATTTCGAAGTGCAAAAATTAGTGGATATACCTAAATAAGCCAAATAGGTATCTTTTTTTCAAGTAATTATGTTTATAAAATAGGCGAGTATTGTTTTTAACAAATACTTATACGTATATTATGTCATGCAAGAGGCAACATTATTTTTGATGTCGACTGTAAAATAATGTGAAAATTACGGGAAATATAAAAAATGATATACAAATACATAAAACATGATAGAAAGTTTAGCAAATATTATATTACAATCAAAAATAACATACATGCATACATATAAATTTAAAATGTGGTAAAATACAAATATGAGGTATGGGTGCAAAATATGACATGTGCATTGGTGGCTTACACACTGGATAAAATCAAAAAAAATGCTAATCAATTAAAAAATGCAATAAAGAAGTTAGCGTCTTTTTAACTTATATTAATAACAACTAAAGTATACTAAAATCAATAAATTTTACAACCAGACAATTCCATAATTTCGGAGAAAAAAGAATATTATTATATGTATCGATTTAAAGTCTAAAGCACTTCGCTATTCAATTCTTAAGAAAATCAAGAAATCAAATTTAATTAACTAACCCAATCCCGTAAGGACGCAACTATATTTAAAATAGTATCAGTGTTATAAAAAAAACTGATTTTCCTGAAAACTTTACTGCCCTGTATAAAAATGGGAGGCAACATTACTTTTGATACTGTTAAATAATATGATAATTAAGAAATATATAAAAAAATTGTGTACAAATACATTAAACAGAGAATACAAAATTATATACATACATATAAAATTAAGCGTATGTACCATAATAAGGATAATACCTTATTATTTACGAATACAGTGTGAGCTTACAAGACTCACAATTACGAACAAAATAAAATGAAATATTTATGAAATATAACACACACCCTATTAGCTTCACGGCTTATACAATCGAATAGATCACATAATATTTCTCTCACCTACATACTTGACTTAAAACTCAAAAAGTACTCACCAATATCTTAAACCTAACAGATTTTAATCAATTTTCAACACTTTTAACACTTCGAAGCGTATTTTAACATTATGGATCATTTTATTTACGACCTCTACCTCATTTCGGCCTTTGAACGACCTTGCCCTATTCCATATTCCTATAACGCCGGCTAAACTATCAACGTGTTGACAGGCAGGTTATCGAACCCATGCGGCTCTAGCATGTCGTTTTTTCAAAGATGGGTCCCATATAAACGTGGCCAGAAGTATTTTCAATACTAAAAAGGTAAAGATCATTACGAGTAATGGTTCTCGAGATATTTGGAATCGAAATTATCAATACCTGTCATCACTGACATAAATTACACATGTTAACTGAATAGTTATTAGACGGAAATCATAAATTTGAAAAGAATTTTAGGACATACATTTATACGATCTTTTTTACTTATTTTTATCTACACAATATTCTACGAAAGTTTTCAAATTAAAATACTTGCACTTTTATGAGAAACGCCCTGTATAATCGATGACGCACGGAAAAAAATTAATCTATTCAAAATAAATGGAATACTAATAGAATATCTCTATGTAAATAGCCGCATCATCGTTTTCATCTATAGATACGCACGATCACAAAAACTTGTAGACGCGGAATCCCATTAAAAAGGCCTAATCCCGCTATTTATGTGAGAACATTATTTGAAAAGGCGGGTGGGAAGTACCGATAAATACATAGAAAGAATAATATATCTATCTGTATACCGTGCGTTCGTAGCAAATTGGATTACGCGTGTCCAAAGGAAGACCATTAAAGAACGGCATTTTCGAGAGAAACAGATAAAAGATTTTAACTGCAAATTGGGAAAAATCATAAATAATAATAATTTAAAGCTGTAAAATGTTAATCGCTAGAAAGGATTTATTAGTTGTTGTAGTAACTTCCTTGTAGGCTTTTAAGGTACTGTGGAGAAATAAACTTTTTTTCTTAGAAACCCCATCTCTAGAAATGTTTTAAAATTCATTTTGCATTTGTTTCAGGTGTCATATACTGAAAATATAAGCAGTTATATACCAGGGAGCTCAATCAGAATCACCCTGTACACCACATCGCATAGAAAAAACGGTAAGAATTAAAAATAATATATCATAATATTATTTTTATTGATAAAAAATACGTTTAAATTTTAAATAATATACAATTTTTTTCTTCGGATATTAACGTGAATTTTCTTTGTTCTGCGCGTCCCTTTGGTGGTTCGATAACCAGCGTACCATTAAATTAACTAGAGGTACTTCGTGTTTACTATATATACGTGTTATTATTTTTATCAGCTGCGTTATACATGCACTCGCGACAGGTGACTAAAAAAGGCTCAGGTGTAGAGAGCTCTTTCAAAAAATACGTCTTTTATGATATAATACGGAAAAATGCTCTTCAATAATTTGAAATGTTGTTGAAATTGTTTCAAAAAAAACATGTGCCATCTCCCCCGGGGAGATTCCTCACATAAAAATATGATTTATTTTTCAAATAAACATAGGTCCGATTCTGTTTTGTTTCGTAGCTACAGGGTGTTCAAGTTTTAATCACTGAGTGCTCCGAGACGGCAACCGTATTCATGCCATAAATTTTGGTACAACTGATATCAGAAATGATATACAATCTTCTGACCTTTTTTTAGATTATGTTGAGAAAAAATAGACAAATAAAACCAACAAAAATAGACAATTTATATATTCTGTCAAAAAACTGGTAGCCCCTCATTTGTATTAACAGTAGCAGAATTTGGAAAAAGAAACAAACGATCTCAATTAAACACAAGAACCCACGGTACCTGTTCAAGGGCTACCTATAATTGGAGCTTCGGGTCATTCGGTGCACCTGCCCTAACACACACTGGCACACTGTGTGTGTTGGCTTTTGGTTATTTGGTCTCTATCCCCATAAATAAAACCAGAGGCACTCGATAACAGAGATTAAGACAGATCTCTAGGTAGTGTTTTTAGTAGTACCTACAGTGTTTTTCAGACTATTTCATTAAAAATAGCTAATAAATAACTAGTATTAATGATGTTTTAAAAAAAATACCTCAATTAGCATGCATAGGTTTGAGAAATATCTATAATTCTATAGATTTCACAATACAACAGGTAGATTTTTACATAAAATAAATAAATTACAGTAAGGATCGGATTTTTGGGGAATGCGATAGCTGTTAAACACCTGTTGTCCCATTGAAAAATACCATTAGGCACCAAGCCAACATCCATAGGCGAAGACATCAACATCGGCATTGTACCACGATTTATTATTATGAAACCTACTAATCGTAAAGTTCTAGAGATGGCCGGTGAAGAAACACACACACACCGTTTGACTCTCTGCTGGAGACGACAGCATTCTACGTATAATATACCGTGTGACTGAATAAAATCGGTGTCAGAGTAGGCGTAGAAGTAGCATTCCAGCTCGAACTTTACTATATTATGTGTATTTTCAAAGCTCTTTAAAGCGACAATAATAATAATTGATATATCTGATTCATAAATATTTTTTTTTAGTTTAGTTTCAAGAGATTGAAAAATAATAATACTGTTGCGTTTAAAAAAGAATAAGGGGCAATGTTAAGATAACATTATACAGGGCGAGTCTTAAATAAGTGCACATATTTTCAGGGCTTGTAGATCTCGACAAAAGAAACAAATTTTATCTTTACCGTTTTTACAAATAAGTCCAAAATAGCAAAGTTATTTTACTTTATAGACTCACCCTGTAAATAACCACATGGGTTGAATATATTCAAAATTTAAAAAAGTCATATCTGCCATTAAGAAGATAGAATTAAGATAGAGGAAACAAAATGGAAACAAATTATAAGATTAATGCCATGAGGCACTGCGACGGTATAACGGCCGTTTTACACGTCGAAAATCCGTTTTTTATGCGCCCATTCTGAATCTCTTCGAATTGATAATAAGTCGTTTGCTAATCGGTTCCCACAGATTAGAGACTTCTGGTTCTTTGGCTTGACCACTCAGGCTCATCACGATATCGCTATTTGAGAGAGAGAAAGAGAACAATAATAATTTAATAAAAATTGGACAACAATAAATGGTTCCGTACCATTCATTATCTATACAACATTAGAGACTATATTATTATAAACTTTTTTTTCGATTTAGCTGAAATTTTGAATGCGCGTATAAGTAATTTAAAAAAAAATGAAGAAACACATTACTAAAAATTGTATTAATCAATAATAAATATGTAAAAAGTAACAATAAATATGTAAAAATACGTAAAAATTAAAAAAAAACGATTAAAAAAAGTCGCCTTGACTAGGATTCGAACCTGCCTTACTACGGCTCCAACGTCATAGCAGCGTAAAGTCCTAACGCTTTTACATTAAATTGACTGTTTACGTTAAAGTAATAACTGTTCCAAATACTAAAAAACTGAATTTTATGTGTGTATTAGACAGTGTGGTAAAAAGTAACACCTTATAAATTTTATTTCATTTATTGACGAATGCTTATTTATAAAAACAGAGACATTCATTTTCATAACTTATTATTATATTGATTTCTGAGCCAAATCCACATTTATTTAGAATAATTTATTAATTAAAACAATTTACAAGTATGTAATTAACTAACTTTTGGTGTTTTTTTGTAGGAAATAATGGTGATATATTTAATTGGTATACTCTTTTACAAAGATTTAAATAGTTTTTTTTGTATGCCAATGGGCTTGCAATATTTACCACCTGTACATTTTGTACATATTATGTGTTATCTGTGATATTATGGTGCTATAAAAAAATCTAAAATGTCAATATTCCATAGGTATAGTGATAAATGAGGTCAAAATTATAAGAAAATGAATTTTCTACGAAAACTTCAAGAGATGGGTGAAAAATGGTATAATACAATTTCATGTCATTGACATCTGATTGTACACATTGTACATCTGATTCACGTAGGACTTGAACAATTCTTACTTCCGAGGACTTGAACAATTCTTACTTCAAAGATAATGTTTAGTGAAAGTACTTTTTTATTTATAAACATTTATTTAATTCTGTTTTTAGTATTTGTTCTTATAGCGGCAACATAGATACATTATCTGTGAAAATTGCAACTGTCTAGCTATAACGGTTCATAAGATTTTGACCTTTGTGACAGATGGACGGACGGACAGCGAAGTCTTAGTTATGGGGTTCCCGTTTTTACCCTTTGGGTACGGGACACTAAAAAAATAAACAATTTTTATGAAAAAGGAAAAGTAAAATAACGACATTTTATTTAGTATTACAACGATGAAAAGTATAGTGCAACTAGACACTTGTTATTCGGCGAATAACACCGGTTTAATGACTCATAGACAAGCCATAATCACTCTACTCCACATTTATTTGCCAATATCGGTCTTTGTACCGTATCCATTTGCGTACCGCCAGGTACTACTTACTTCGGGTCACGGTCTTTCGTAATTGAATCGCGATCAATTACTTCAGTTACGGTCACTCAGTCATTTCGTTTTTTTTCTTTCTTTGTACCCAATATAATCCGCTTTGTTATTAGATTTAAAACAGTACCGCCGTTTAATTCTAGGTTTTATTGTCAAAATGTCTTAGAGATCAGTTTAGATTTCTGGCCTGTTTGTCGGAAATAATGAATTTAAAGTACCATATCTCAGAAACTTCTGATATAAACTCACAATTTCAGTCGCAATTTCAAAGTTGGATTTCTCGCGAACCACTCGTTAGATTTTGATGATTTTTTCTTAATTGTAAATTAATTCCTTCTTAACGGATGCTACGTCAGGAATTTTTATTCTGAATTTATTTTGAGCATATACAGGGCACAACAATAAGACGAAGTTTTTAGCCCGAACTTAACAACCTGTAAGGTGCAGCAGCTGTAGTAGCTATTGCTAGAATTAGAATTAGAATGAGTGGGAGGGGGGTTAATCACTTCGACCTTACAGATCCATTGTGTCCCCCTTTCTTGAATCATAACTCATCATACAGTCCCAGGGCTTTGACAAAAGCCAGTATCTGGGACGGTTTTATAGAGGGTAGTTCTCCATCTCCAATATCAGTCGTACCAGAAAATTCATGGCACGAATGGTTGTCGTCTCGGCGCACTTCAGTGATGAGGTGTACTGGTGTTTCACCATCTTCCCCACAGAATCTCACCATTCGCCGTTTCTTCTTAGTTTCAATCTACAATGAGGTGTTCATTGAGGAGACAGTGTCCTGTTGTGACAATCCGGAAGATTGTATTTTACCAGACCCAGGAAGATCTGTGATTTTTCTTGATCATAAGCCCTCAGAAACTTCTTCGAGTGTCCTAGACCATTGCAAGATTTCCATTCCAGGTTGCGGATGGAACCTTCCAAGTTCTTGAGTTCCGCCTTGAGTTGGTTACCACTCGGAAAGCAGAACGGTTCTGGTCCAGTTAGTGGAGTGTTCGCTCCTTTCCTAGCTAGATTATTTGCTTTTTCATTGCCTTCTATCCCTTGGTGAGCAGGCACCCAGTGTAGGAAGACTTTGTTTTCTTTGCCTAATTTATTCAGCTTCTCTATGCATTCTTTGACCAATTTCGAATTGATTGATACTGAGTTGATCGCCTTTAACGCTGCTTGACTATCAGATAAGATGGCTATTTCTTGTTTCCGATAGTTCCTATCTAAGATAAGTTGTACGCATCTTTCGATAGCGTAGATTTCTGCCTGTAAGATACTAGGGTAAGTGCCCATTGGTTCGGAGTAATTAGCTCCCGGCCCAAACACTCCGATCCCTGTTCCCGTATTGGTTTTGGAAGCATCAGTATACCAAGTTATGGTATGGTCTTTTAACTGCTGGGCAAGCGTTTCGCTCTTCTACCTATTGCTAAATCAAATCGCATTGTAGCCTCATCTATTGTGAGCATTTTGTTTGTTTAATCACGACATTATCTCTGTTTGTATTGGAGATACGCTATTTTAAAACGAACGTCTCGGAAAAAAAACATTCCTCTCTGTATATAGATCAATTAAGTACCCCGAACCTTGCCACAGAGCAATTACACCTGCCGCTGGCGTCCTAATTAACGGCTAGAACTAACGTTTATATCAAT